CAGGAAAATAATGCACTGGAACATAATTTTCAGAAACAATAAATACAGGGAAGATATTTTAAGGAATGATAATAAACAGGAAAGTTATTATCAGGAAATATATTGTACAGAAAATCACAATCGGGAAGTAAAAAAATGGGAACATAATTCATAGGAATTATAAACACAGGAAAGGTGTTGTAAGGAATGATAATAAACAGGAAAATTATTATCAGGAAATATATTTCACTGGGAACTAAATATTTGGAAATTGAAATCCAGGAATGATTAATACAGTAAAGGTGTTGTAAAAAATAATAACACACGGAATATTATATTCAGGAAAAATAATTTTGGGAAAATCAAAACTTATTTACATGAATGATACTTTACATTAAATTTTTTATTTGTAAAATATTATTTAGTAGAAAATACCAAATAAGTAATTAATATTTCTTAAAAACTTTATACCTATTTAATAAAGATATTTTATTTAAGATACAATTAATACGTCATATGAGGAGTTTTAGGTGTTCAACAAATCCTCCCCCCCCCTTGTAATTTTTTTCAGTAGGTATATGTTTAAATATATAAAAATGAAAACAATTAAAAAATATTTTGATATAGGTTAAACACTGGTTGACACATATTTTTTTTAACGTAACCCCTGAAATCCCACCCCTCCCATTGAAAATATCAGTTAACCTTAGAACTTAATGAAATGACAGGTATTTTTTTGTTATCGTACAAATCCGTTAATCATTTTTTTGTATTAGTCAAGGGTTCAAGCTAATGTTAATTTTCCTGTTAAAGGTATTGTTTTAGTACTTATGCTCAAAGCTGGGCACTAACTAGTTAGAAAGTTAAAGTTAAGTTAGAAAATTACTTTTTAAGTTTGTAATACAAGATGAATTTAATGTGTAAAATAATCTAACTTAACTAGTTAAAAATAATAAGTTACAACTTTTTTCTGTAGTTTTTTTTTTCATTTAAGTATTGAATTTATCAATTTCTTATTTTGTTAAACTTTCTATATTCTAATGACTGATATTCTAAGAAATTAAGGTTATTATCTACTTACAATTATTCAATTCAATTTTTCATTCACCACCAATAATTCAAGTAAGACGTAAGTTAGTAGTTACCTTTACCTACCTACCTATCTACTTACTTAATAATTAACTTATGTAATATTTTACATTAAAAAAAAACAGTTTTTTAAATTAATATTTTTAACTAAAAAAAAACTTACTTCTAACAACTTCTACTCTAACTTAAATTACTATTTCACCAAACTTACTTCTAACTAACTAATTCAGAAACTAACTTATCATCTAACTTAGTTAATTTTTGTATTAAAGTAACTTAACTTTAAGTAGTTGAAAAAGTGACTAGCTTGCCCAGCTTTGCTTATGTTAGGTGCTTAGGTGTAAGAAACTCATATTGTTATGTTAAATTATTATTTAATTCGATCTTACGCTTTATTACTAAAAAGTAAATATTTGTATAGTCTGTATATTGCAATACCTTATACCTAATAGAGTAATAATACCTATTCAGTATTGAATAAAAAAAAAGGTGAGGAAGTAGGTGTCGCTCTGCTGTACATAATGTTACAAGTGTGGTTGTGTGGATCACTGTAATGGATTCATCAATGAAAACAATTAAAATATCAGCACAAATAGATGCTATTAAAACTCAACTTTTATTTGTAACTAAATGTGATAAACTCAAAGTGCTGGTATTTTATAACACTTGGGACACACTTTATCAAGAATTAGACACTAGATTTAATTTTTTAAACAAGATATATTAGACCTAATGAATGTTGGTAAATTTTAGTAATGAAATAGAAACTACAAGTTACCTATAATTAAGTGTCTAAATACTTTAGTATTTTAACTGGAAGATTATGTGCTGAAGTTAATATTTTAAGTTCTACTAATACAAATACACCAAAGGGAACAAGTTCCATTTCAGTGTTTAATTGACTTTACTAGTTAAGTCAGTGTGATAGATCTTCAAATAATTTTTTTCATTAGGTATCTTAAAATGTTTTCAATTTGGTATCCCTGTTACAAGCTATACTTGTGAGAGTACATTAATTTCTAAACTAACTATTGTCAAGAACAAACAAGTTAAGGAACACTATCGGCCAAGAAATATTAAACGCTCTACTTTTCTTATGTCTTGGACAAGAACTAACTAATAGTGTTGATGTAGGTAAATAAAGTTATTGGTGACCTTAAACACTTTATCCCAAGTAAGCGTTGGTATTATTAATTTTGATATGGTAATGGGTATACTCTTATAGTTAATAATGTTTTTGCTTTAGTCAGTTAATAATTTTTTTTTAACACTATCTATAATAATTTTTATTTAAATTTGAATTTATCAAAATTATTATTTATTAATTTAATTTTTCTGTATTAGTAACAATAAAACCGAGTGGTGCATAATAATCGAAAACAATAGTTAAACAAGAAAATTTAAATTTAAGGCCATATAAACATTTTGTCTAAATACATGACGCGACATAACAAAAAAATCAACATGATCCTTTACCTATTGAGTTTGCCAAAGACAGAGCTCTGGGGATTTCATTATGAATATCTATCTATTTTTATTTTTATAGAACCATACATATAATATAAAATAATATATAATTATGTTATTTTGGATATGAATAAAGTGATATTTGAGTATTATAACATTTAAGGGGAAGATGAAATAGACGGACCACACTGGTCACGGAGGCTTCTACGACTGGGTTTCCTTATCACTAACAATTTAAAAATAGAAAATATTCCATTCGTTTTATTTGTATGTAAACAATGTCCCCATAATTTTCATCGCATTTCGTCAACAGACCTTTAACGGTAAAGTCGGCATTATTTTACATCAAAATGAATAATTACCCTCATGAAGGTTTTACTTATAAAATTAATGGCGGACGAAAAAACGGCATTCGGTAAGTTGATTTATTCTATATAATATATATATATATATATATATATATATGTATACAATATACTAAACGTTTTAATAGTGCATTATTCTTAATTACATAGGTACCTATAATGTATTTTATAAATGAATAAAATAAAAAATCGAAAATAGGGATCTATAGTACATAGCAGGGGTCTCCAACCTTTTTTTTTCGGCGGGCATAATTTGCGATCCAATATTTTTATGTATGCCGATTTATAAAACATTTATTGCATTTGGTTTGTATTTTAAGGTATTTGGCATGCTGTCAGAGGTATTGCAAAGGTTCAGCAAAACAGTTAGCTAATGGTATTATAGTACCAATTAATTCTCATTCGCATCAACCTAATAATGTAGAAAATGAACTATTGAAGTTTAAAAAACAATTTCGTTTGATTCTGATTGAACGAGCAGTGCATGAAACAACAAGGCTCAGGGATATTTACGATGAGGAATCTATAAGGTATTGCTTCAAGCTTGTCATTTTAATATTATATTTAAATTTAAAATAAAACAAAGTTAAATGAGGTTCCATTTAGTCACAAAAGACTGATATTGTTCCACTATGGACGACAATTGAGAATTCTGGTTAATTTTCTACTACAATAATTATTCCTCAATGTAGTTCTATGGACATGGTACATTTGACTGCCTTTACTTATAATCATTCCTATATCACAATTTATCATTAAGTAAGTTAACTCTACCCAAAGTTATTGTTTGAGGTATATCAAAAATATTTATCATCATTAATAGTCTCTTTAATTATAATTTAACTGTAGAAAGTGAATATAAAAACCTTTCTGGAGTAGTTTTAGAGTTTTTTCTTTAGTTGGTGAAATTTGAACAGGTTAAATAAGCAACTGAATAAATATATTGCGATTTGGAGCACTATTTATTAAAAAAAAAGTTATTACACGGCCATAGAAGAAAACATCTATGATCCGTTTATGGCCACCTACCTATATAAACTCTATACGATATGCAATGTAATTAAAAACAACTAAATATGTGCATTACACTGAATTTAACTTGATGGTACAGGAAAAAAACATAAATTGATAATTTCAACACAAAATGCAGAAGCTAACATATTTTAAATTCTTAACAATTTAGTTAAGCGATGAATTAAAAAGTGATAAATATTGAAAAATATTTTTACAATGTTCTCAACTGTTTTTGTAATAATTGTTACCACTCAGTTAATACATTGATGTAGATGATTACAACTATAACCATAGTCTTAAAAAAACTAAAAAATTACACTATTTTCAAATAAAATAAAAATGACTGGCCATAACCTGCAGGGATACTGGGATACTGGCTATAGGTGGCAACTCCGCCTTAAGTACCTACCCATTTTCATTTCAGACATATGAGAGGTGCAGAACAATACTCTTGGCCTTTAGCCGAGTTGTGCATGCGCCATGCTCGTAGAAGAAATGTGCCTGCTTTGCCACCAACCTTAGTTGCACTTGCAGACATTTTAGAGACCAATGTAGACCGATATACTTGTTGTGGTCATTCTTTTTACCAGGACCGTACAATTGATGTTGATGGAAAAGTTTCAATTATATTCGGTTGTTTGGACTTGATTCAGGAAGTTATACACCAGGGTGGATCTGAACTTCATGCGGATGCCACGTTTAAGGTTGTTCCATCCTCTCCAAAATGTAGACAATTGTTTGTTATGCACTTTAATATTCAAAATCATGTAAGTTCAAAAATTTAGCCAATTATGTTAATAGTAATAAATGATAATATTTTATTTTTAATATCTAGTCCATCCCTATAATATATGTATTAATGGAATCAAAAACAGAAACAGCTTATACGCTTGTTCTCAGAAAATGTAAGGCCTTGTTTCCAGCTATTCAGCCAGTATGCATCATGACTGATTATGAAAATGCTTTGAAAAACGCATTTAGTAACGTATACCCTGAAAGTATTCAAAATGCATGTCATTTTCATTATGTACAGGTAGATATATAATATTATGTTGAATAATTTATTTTCCTAAAATATATTTCTATTTTGCCTTAATTACTGTACCAACTATATTTTTAGTGTCTAGTTAAAAATATAAGAAAAAATGGGTTATCAAACTATGTGAAAAATAACCATGAAGCTCAGACTTGTGTTAAAATGGTATCTGTGTTAGCTTTATTACCGCCTAATAAAATTGATGAAGGTTACCAGGTTATTCGAAGATATGCAAGGGATAACAATGTAAACCTTATGCCTTTTTTTACTTATTATTCAAAGTAAGTATAACATTTGTCAATATTGTTCTTTTTTTACTTTGAAAATGAAACACGCGGTAAAAGTTATGAAACTAGTCTGTTACATAAATACAATTAATAAACAAATTACATTTTTACTCTAAATACAAATAAATAATTAATTTAAGTTCTTAGGTATTACTGTGTCCACAATAAAAAGTTAATTTGAATTTAGTACTTACAGAAAACCTAAACACTGATGCTAAATCCATATGATTTCAATCATTCTCATAAGATTTAATTTTTTGATTCAATAGTATACACTTAGACTTATATTTTATTAAAGAAACATAATATAAACTTACATTATATTAAATTGTTTGTATATTATTCACTTTAAGTTATTGGTTACGTACAAAAGGACCAGAAGTGTTCTCAGTATATGGTGTTCCTAGAAGAACTAACAACAATATAGAGTCTTTTCACGGTCAACTAAAACAGAAATTTCAAACTCTACACCCAAATTTGTGGACATTTTTAGGTAAGCAAAACAGTAAAATAAACATAAACTATAGGTAGATTCAAAGAACATATTATAGGGTTATAACCATAGGCATAGTATAGAACAACTAGATAGCCGACTATAATCATTAAGATGTAAACAATTTTTTTTTTGCAGAACACTTGAAAAAATTAAGTCTGAGAAATCACTTAACTATTACACATTTAGCGAGAGGCCAACGAGTATCCCGTCCTGTAAAAATAAAATATTTGTTAAATTCTGAACGTATTCAAACTGCAACTACCCAGCTACGACTAGATATTATAAATACAAGAGAGTTTTTACTACAAAGTTCTCACTGTGCTGAACGTTATCTTCAAGACGAATTAAATTGGCATATTGACATTGAACAAAGAATCGAAGAAATAAACAATGTAGCAGAAGAAAATGCTGGGCAGATAGAAGTAATTAATAATTATAAATATAAATATTTGATAAAAATTGACACATTATAATATGTAACTAACTTCACCAAGCATGATTTTCAACAGGCAGAAAATGATGGAGATGCTAACCACCACCAATTAAATGCAGCAGATGAAGAAGATATACTTGAAGTAATTGTGATTATAATGATATAGTAAAATAATTTTTTCTAATTATAAAATATAAATATAAATAAATCACAATATCTTTAACAGCCAGAAAATTATGAAGAATTACAATATGAAGAACCAATAATAGGTAGGTGCCTGCCTATATTTTATAAGCTACGTAGTACGTATACTCTTAAATAGGTTTATTTCACTTTGTGTATTATAATATTATATTGCTTAAAAATAAATTACGTTTATAGTTCTTAATACTTTTTTAGGTAGAAATATAAATTTGTTTGAGGTTGATGCAAATGTAATTGAAAACATTCCATTAAGGCGGGAAGAAGCTGAACCTCAAATCAATGAAGAGGGTAATAACCTATAAAATATACTTTTAATTAATCAATTATTCTTAACTTTTATCTAAAACGACTACAAAAAATTGTTTTCATATAATATTCATGAACTAATATTATAACTTGGTAAATCAATCAAACACAATAAAATATTTTTTTTCAGATGAAAATGATTTTATCATTCCGGAGGATAGGGAAATAAACATTTGGCGAGAGTTTATAAATGACTCTGATGATGAACATGAGATACCATTTGTTCAAGTACCTCATAATTTGGTTGAACTTTATCCGCAGCAAGATGAAGAAAATATATGTGTTGTTTGTAGATTTGCTCAAAGGACACATGCGCTTGTGCCTTGCGGGCACAGGGTCTTATGTGTAGATTGCTTAGCACAATTACGAGAAACACGATGCCCAATTTGTAATGAGAACTTTAACCTTAGTTTACGAATCTGGTAAATAAGATACACAATTTATGTTAATGTCAATAAGTTAATTTATAGTAAAAGTAATACCTATAGGTAATAGGTATACAGAAATGTATGTAAGTAAATACTAAATAATAAAGGATAAGGAAAGTACCAATCTTAATTGAACCAATCTTAATTATTTTAAACACTTGATACCTTCTCCAAATATATGTCATAATAATAATAATTAATAAGCTTAATTGTTATAGCAATAATATTAGTTACATTATTGAACCTAGTGATAATAAGTTGGTAGATAAAATATCACAGATTTGAAACTCTTGAGACAACATTTTAGTAATTTCTTATTAAAATGATACCTTATTCAACAGTATGGAAATGTTATACATTTATAATGTAAAAACCTAAATAGTTTATCTGTATCTGATATATAAATATACTTTTATATGGTAATGTAATATATAGCAAGGCTGGGCATTAATGAGTTAAAAGTTAAAATTAAGTTAAAACGTTAAGTTAATTAACTCGTTAATTTTTTTTTAAATTAACTTTTAACTTAATAAGTAACTTATTTTCAAGATTAACGTGTTAACTTCAAGTTAATTTTATTTCAAAAATATCTAAATTAAGTTAATTTTCGTCCGAAGAATAATGCAAATTTTTGAATGTGTTTTTATTTTGATGTATCATTTTAAATTTACCCAGTAATTTTCTTGGACATAAAGAAAAACTATCTAATAAACCATATTGTGTGTCTGGAATTTTTTTATTTTTGTAAATTAGCAAATTTTAACTTTACACTAAGTTAAGTAACTTTTTTGTCAAAGTTAACTTTTAACTTAACGATTTAACAAAAAAAATACGAGTAACTTTTAACTTAATTTAATTATTTTAAAATAACTTAACTTAACGAGTTAAAAAAAATTGTTAACATGCCCAGCCTTGATATAATATATCATAGTAGTATATTATAGTGTATGCATTTATACTGTATATGTATACAAAATGTGAGTATTATACATTTTAGGAAAGAATGTTGCTCAAGTAAGATTTTAATCTATAAAAAGTAATTATTATTGATCTTGATATTATGATATAGACATTTTACAAGTCATGTGATTAGATATGGCAGTCTAAACCCAAGAAGGCTTGAAACAAAGTAGGTACCTAGAAAATGGCTGGTGCCAATTAATAGTTGTACCTACAACATGATTGAAATATTTCTCATTGATAAATGATGGTCACAATAATATTTGAAAACTGTTTAAAGCCTGTGTAGTTTTAATTTATTTATTCATTTACATAATATACTAGTATATTATTATTTGCATTACCTATGTCTGGATGCTTATATAAGTATTAAAATCTACAGAATTTATCATTATTCAATTTAGGTAAGACAGGCATTTTTCTTGTCATAATTTTTATCAATTATTTATATTAATCATACCTATTTCTTATAATATCTATATTATTTCAATTTCGATACATATAATAAATTATAATATTATAATAGGTCATGCGCTTAGCTAAAAATTTCAAAATGGGGGTATTATTCAAAATTAATCGACAAAATGAGTATAATTTTATTTGTTATAACTTAGGCTTGGAAGTTATTAGAACTAAGCAAGGAAAAATTTAAATGTAAATATGTATAAACAATTTATAAATTAATATGCATGAAAAAATGTCAAATATGCAATCAATTTACTGAATATTTATAAAATTCCAAATTCTAAAAAAAACCATTGTATGTTGTTATTAATTTTTACTAAAACAAAATATGCAAAAAATTAAAAAAATGAATTGTAATACTTCAAACATGGTGGAAAACTGTTAACCAATTTTTACATTTTATTGAACTGAAAAACGTCAATCAGCATACAGTTTTTAAGGTGTTTTGTATAGGCAACCCACTTTACATCACATTCGATATTTGCTATTTTCCTCGTAAACTCACATTACAGTTTTTTTTTAACTCGATCATTAAGGGGGTAAATGTTATACTAAATGTTGAATTACTGCATGTATGCATACTCAACATTACTTAAGACAGTTTCCTCATTGAATCTGGTTACAAAATAAATAATTGTAATTTCGGTTACAAAAGTTTAACATTAGCATTAGCCTAAACTGTATTGTAGTTTTATGATACCTATTATTGAACCTTCTAACGTCATAATAGGTACCTTATTGTAGATGTCATACAATATTCGATGAAAAGAAAACAACTACTGTAGTTACTTATCATACATATTATACGTAAAATATACATTTGAATACCTTTTCAATAGCGTAAATATTTTTGATTTTGTAGTGTTTTTCATCATTGTGTATGAGTAGGACGTAGGTACTTATTAATTATTATTGCCTACTGAATATATGCATCAAATAGTTAATTTTTAAGAAAGTACCTACAACTTATAAATGATTAATTGAACTTTAAAAACTATTACATATTTACATACATTTATAACGTTTGTTCACGTTTGGCAATATTATGCCAGCAGCATAGAACATTCTATGTCAGTAGTTTACTTAGAAAAAGTTAGGTACAAGCTAACCTCCTATTCATATTATAATCACATCGATGGTAATTATATTTAGAGTGTTAAATATGAACAAAATTGTTTTAATTGTTTGAATTAATGAACTTTTAATTTCAATCATCAAAATTAATGATATACATATACGTCTCAAAAATTATAATTAAATGTATTTTATTGTGCATGTATAATACTATAATATAATATGTCTCAAAATCTACTAACGCTGGATAATAGGTATAGTAAATTAGTAAATGGCAGATCATAGATAAGGTAGGTAGGTATGTACTCTGTTCAAAACTCTTGTGTTCGTCTATTTATGGATGAGATCAATCCCACATAATAGATCGATAAATTGTGAAATCTAAATACTTTCGGACGAAATACTTTTGGACTAATAATCGTTTTGGATAAAATATTTTCGTTCAATATATTTTTGGCGTTCTTGTTTTCTGATATTTGATAGGTCACCATAAGTATAATAATTACTACATCTAATATTACGTAAAACCCATATATATATATACTATTATAGCCCATATAGGTAGTTTAAATCTTTATAAAACTATTTTTATGGATTATTAAAAATATTAATGACTCGGAAACCCACTGGAATAAGAATTTTGACCAAGATACATCAACATTTTAAAGAAAATCATCAGCTTAATAGTTTGAGGTACAATTATAGGGGGGTCTCATTTGAAAAATAGTAATTTGTATCGCCACAGGACACTCCTTAGGACCAGTAGTACAAATATATCAAAATAATTGATAATAATAAATCTTTTGGTAGGAATTTAATTAACTATTACCTAATACATAATACTTCACAATAAAAACCTATTTAAACCCTAAAAATATGTTTTTTTTGTAAGTTTAGTTGGGCAGTTGGACAAAAATCATCAATCTCGAGAAAAAATGATAAAAATATCCATTTATTAAAATATTTAAAATTGTACGTGTATGTGGCGTTTTCTTGCGTTTTACATTCTTGCGTAATATTTTCCTGTTTTTAATTTTTTAATTTTTCATGTTCCTGTACAGTATTCTCCCGGGTAATTCCTTTCCCGGTAGTAACTTTCCTGTTTTTTACATTACTGTAAATTCATTTTCCCGAAATTAATGTTCCGGTGCAATATTTTTCCGTATAATTTTATTCCCGGTGATAACTTTTCTGTTTTTTGTATTCCTGTGTTTTGTTTACACGTTCTTTTATGTTCCGATGTATTATTTTCCTATGAAAAGTATTTCCCAGGTATTATTTTCCTTGTAAAAATTTATTCCTGTTTTTTATTTTCCTGATCTTCACGTTCCTGTGCTATATTTTCCTGTGTTTTATGCGCGCCCGTATTATTATATACGTATACGTATTTCCATTGCTATAAA